GAAAATAATGTGAAAGGAAGGGGGATCCTGTGGTAGGAGAGCCTGATGCCATCCGCGGGGAAGGCTGTGAATCAGGAGGTCTGGGTTCAGCAGGGCCACATGCAGCTTCCATGCTTGCGAGAGTCAATATCCCCCCTGCGGCTCACATTTTTCCTTCTGCAAAATCAGATGGCTGAGGGGGGAACAGAGGGTACTGGGGGCAGATAAGACGTCAGGGGATGGGCTTCCGGGAAAGTCCCTAAACTCCCCAAATTGTGAGTAAAATCCTGGGTGTTCACAGGATTTTTTCGCAGGACAGGGAGTGGGTCGTTCTTGTAAATTACTCAAAGATCTCTTTACCAAACTGGACGAAGCCCCGCCGCTTTGGATGGTTTATGATCTTTTGCGGCCCTAAAACTTTACTATTCTTGCACAGAAGTGGACCCTGCAAACTGATTCTAAAAGGATTTCCCAGCCTTGTGGTTTCACCATCATTGCCTTTGACCCTGAGCAAAACTCAACATGAAGTCTCTGGCCTTGTAACCATTTGTTTTTTCCTGTGTAGAAAAGAAAAACAATGCAACGACGATCCCTGAGTGTCCTGAACCCTCGTCACACGGCACTGCCTGGCAGGTAGAACAGGTGGAAAATCAGAATCCCTGGGGGTCATCCAGCCCAGCTGCTGCCCCTGGTGTGCACACAAACAGAGGCGACCTTACCCTGCATGCTACAGCCACAGCTCCTCTGGTCCCAGCTTGTTGACTTGGTCCCAAGGAGCAAAGCTGTCCAAGTCCAATGAATGGCCGGCAGTGGAAAACCAGTGTTGCTGTCTGTTGGCAGGCAGCGCGGCCGACACCACACTTGGTCAGCTCCCCACAAGCGGCGCTCCCCCTCCCCCGCCATGGCTGGCTTTGGCAGGCGTTGCCAGGCCTGACTGAGAACGCAGGAAGTTTTGGGTCACGGTGACCTCTAGTTGTTGATGCCAGATGAAATATGCCCTGGAGGTTCTCCAGTGTCACATGGTGTGTGGAGCAAGAAAAGGCAGGGTTGCTCTTGCGCTGACAAAGTGGATTTTGGTTCCCAAATGGCACCCCTTGGGGAATAGGAGGGGTTGTGGGTGGGAAGCGGGGCAGGCAGGCCCAGCAGTGGTGTGAGAGTGGGCAAGGGAGAATTAGTCTTGCATTTTTCATCTCCTTCAGCCTTCCAGGAAGCCACTTCCTCCTGGAGGTGGAGGCATACCCCCAGATCTGTGGCGTGGGAATTTGGGGAAAACTTTCTGCGGTGTTTTAGTTGTTTACGTGGTGGTAGGGGTGGATTTCTCGCTCTATACATGCTGGGCCTCCTGGCTGGATAAAAGCTATGTAATATGTGGGGCCTGACCTAAAGCCCTCATAGATCAATTGCTTAAAATGGAAAGCAAGTCAACTATGGATGCTCGGGGTTGGGGCTGCCACCTCCACACCCAGATTGCTTTTCAGCTACGACCCAGGAAAATGATAATGTCCCTTTCCATCCTGCTGAAATCTCTCTTCATCTTGTTTATACATGTTGGGTTATCTAGTCCTGTTTTTCTGAATTCCAAGCACCTAGAGGAGACTCAGGGGTTCCCAAAGGGGACCTCTGTCAGAGGTCCAGTGATGGACACCTACCTGTCTTTTGTCCCACGTAGGTCCAACGCGCCTCAGTACAATCTCTATGCCTTGTCCTGGGCAGGAGGATGAGGCTTGGCTCCATTCGCTTTCAAGAATCAGGAAGAGAGGGACTGAAAGAGAAACAGCTGAAAAGAAGGAGCCAAATAAAAAACGAGATCCAGCTGGAGGAGTTCAAGCTCGATACGCAGGCTTGAAAAAGAGGTCAGGCCCCAGGAGCTGGGCTGGAGCAGCCAGGAGTGTTTTTTCCAAGGGAAGATGACTGCCTGAGAGGTAGGTGGGCTCTAGTCCGCTGCCCCACACCCAGCTTCAGTTGCCACAAGGAGGCCTTTCCAGTTTTCCCTCATTCTCCTCTGAAGGCCAAGTTGCCTCAGCTGCATTGAAATGGAGATAGGGTATGTCTGAGATCTAGAGGGAAGGTATCCTTGGGGAAAATGAAACATCATTCAAGGGTCATCTCCAATCTCACCTCCTCCGAGAATCCTTGCGAAATCTCTCCTGGATCTTGGCTCTCTCTCCACCCTCCTCCATGAGCACTTCATGTCTTAGTTCTAGTATACATCTGTAACTGTCACATAATCAATTATTTGGTAATGGTAGTGACATAATATTTGTACAGTGTGACTTCTCTTCCAAAATGTATTACTTTTGCAAATAGTAACTCATTTGCTCTCAGTAATGACCCTGAAAAGCAGCGAGTAGTTATTGATAGTTGGTTTTATTTAGAGGTATGGTGGGACAGAAAGCACAGACCTTGGCTCTGTTAGATTAAGCCTTGAAATATGAACCTTGTGATGAGAGCTTGGATAGCCTCCTTGACCAGCTTAGACAGCAATTGGCCCCACCAAGAGAAATCTGTGCCCTCTCATCTGCCAGTGGGACCACTGTGGCTTCCACCACAAGCTAAGTTTCTGGTAAAAGAAAGTCCTGCCTTGCATATCCAGAAAAATATTAGCTTGGAGGCATCATATTTTCACAACATACTATTTGGAACTGAGCAAATGCCATGGTTTTCTAGCATCAAAACAACTTTATTCCAAAGTTTCTTTTGGAAATTTGAAGGCCATGCACTCTGCCAGGCCTCACATTCCAGCTCTCCTTGGCAGCCATGCCCTTTGGTCATTACAGCTTCTCTGTCACAGACCTACATCTGTGTCCTGCTTTGATTTCTCTTCTCTTTCCCTCCCGCATCCTCCCCCTTCCAACTCTTTGCATAGTACCCTTGAAGTTCACCTGTTATGCCAGCGAACCCTCATACTTTCAGTCTCTTTATATATTTCCTTCCCTATCTTGTGCCCTAATTGAAACCTGGTCTCCCTAGGGATACTGTTTGTTGGAAGTCCTCTTAATAGGCTTCTAACACATGTGAAGTCTTACCCTAAATTTGGAGCGATGTGACTTTTTCTTATGTCACACATTACTGCTCCAAAACATTATTCTTCCTGCAATTTAACATTTCTCTTAAAAAAAAAATAAGGTATTTGGCTAAACCGTCCAAGTTCTCCACATTTCACACTCACCCCACACTGTCCACCATGGACTCCATCAACATGGACCTCTTAATTTCTCTCCACATTCGTTGAATATTTAAACACACAATTTGCAATTCTCCACCTTTCTTTAAGTCCTACCATTGTTCTGGATGGTCAATATTCAGGACCATCCAATTCCCTGACTTTCACAAACGTCAGGATCTCATTTTCTAACTACGAGCCTTGATCGCTGCGTGTCTCACCCTCTTCATCTGTTCTCTGAGATCTTTTAGAGTCCTTGAGCTGTCTGCCCAAACTTCTTCGGTCTAACTTTTTTTTTTGTTTTCTTTTTAAATTAATAACAAAAATAATAGCAAATATTTACTGAGTATTCAGTATTCACTGTGCTGCATGATCAGATTTTTACATACATCTTCTTAATTGCTATATACAACCCTACGAGTTTGGTGATATTTTTGTTTGTTTTTGCAGATGAGACAACTAAGAAATAGAGGTATTTAAAATTTTAGCTTAAATCATGCAGCTACTAATAAGTATCGGAATTGGAATTTGGGCTCAAATATTCTGGCTCTAGAGGGGATGTTACTACCATGTTCCTCATCTCTCTATCTCTTATAAGTCTTTGTTTTGGGGTTTCAACCTCGGTCATCCTTCTCATCCCACACGCTCTTTCCAAATGTCCTGGACATGTGCTCCTGTATTCAGCTAATACTCAATTCTGTAATTTTAGTGTTATTGCAGAAAACACTCACCGTAGCCTCTCTTTGGCCTCAGTTTCCTCATCTGTGAAATAAGAGTAATGACAGCACCTACCTTCTAGGGCTGTCTGTAGTAAGCAAATGTATAGAAAAAGCTGACTTACCTCCAGACCCAGCTTCTTCTTCTTCTTTTTTTTTTTTTCTGAGACAGAATCTTGTCTTGCTCTGTTGTCAGGCTGGAATACAGTGGCAGGATATTGGCTCACCGCAACCTCCGCCTCCTGGGTTCAAGCCATTCTGCTGCTTCAGCCTCTCAAGTAGCTGGGATTACAGGCACATGCCACCACGCCCAGCTAAGTTTTGTATTTTTAGTAGAGACTGGGTTTCACCTTGCTGGCCAGGTTGGTCTTGATCTCTTGACCTCATGATCCGCCTGCCTTGGCCTTTCTAAGTGCTGGGATTACATTGAGCCAACACCCCTGGCTTGGAGCCAGCTTCTTATTCCCCATCTACATTTCTACTTGAATGGCCCGCAGGCATCTCACACACAGCATGTACCAAGCTACATTTGCCATGCCTCACATGTTTAAAATTGGTGGCTTTTCCTCTTATCCATCCAGTTTTCCTATGAATAGTTTTTTTTCTTTTTTCTTGACCCGACATGTAACCTGTCTTTAAGTTCTGTTTGAAAGTCCTAGTATGTAAATTGACTCTGTTGCCTAAATTCAGGCCCTCGTCCCTTTACATCTGAACAATTACCATGTTTTCCTACCTGGAATCCCTGCTCCTACTTTTTATAGCTTAGAGAGGTAATTTTTTTTTTAAAGGAATCAGATGATATTTATTCAGTTTGCTTTAAATTCTTCCATGGCTCCCCAAAGGTTTTAGGATATAGTTCAAATTTCTTAATTTATTAAGTTTTTTTTTTTTAAAAAAACTTTATCTTGCTTTTCTGCTTCATTGTATTAATATTTCTTGCCATTTTTTCTAACACATATTTTGCCCAATCATGGGGAACTTCTAGTAGGTCTTCAAATGCCAGTGGCTCCCAAAGCTCATTGCACTTGCAAATGCTGATTTTTCTCTTCATCCCTCCTTGTTCTGGCTAATTTCCTCTTTTGCTTGAACTCTCAACTCAGGCATCCTCTTTTGCAGAAATACATTTTTCCTGGTGCCCGTAGTTTATTTTGGTGCTTTGTCTGTAATTCCAGAGCACCTGGTACACATTTCTGCCAGTCAGTTAACACTCCACATCCTGGTTCTCATCTTTACTTTGCCTCCAAATACCCAGAGCCAGGGCAGCAAACAGCAGCCCAGGGACCAAAGTCATCCTGCCACCTGTTTTTGTAAATAAAGTTTTATTGGAACACAAGCATCCTCATTCGGTGTTCTCTATGGGTGATTTTGGATAAAAAGAACAGAGTTTAATTGTTGTGACAGAGTCTATATATTCCCCAAAGCTGAAATATTTACTCTTTGACCTTTTGCAGAAAATGTTTGCAGTCCCATTTCGTCCATTACTGTGCTCACTGTACCAAAATTCTTAGCCAGAGATGCCCAGGCCCTGAGGGAGAAAGTGAATCAAGATGTTGCAGAGGAGGAGTGTCAAGGGGAAAGGATAGTTGGATGATTCAGATACACAACCTAGGGGATCATGTTCCTACCCTACGCCACTGACAGTCATTCCATGTGTCCATATGAAACATTTCTTGTATATCATGAGATAGAGACTGTGTGTGTGTGTGTTTCAATCTTCTGGCTTACATGTCTAGCATGGTGACAGGCTATTAGAAGTAAAAACAAGTAAGTCAAAAAACAAACCCGAAAGCCAAGCTCACACAGAAACAATTGTTTGAAGGATACTGGGATATAATCAGAGGTCTAAGGCAGAGGTGAACACCCAGGTTTTGAAAAGACACAGCAATGATTCAGAGTAATGACTGTCATCAGGATCCAGCCTCTGTCTCATGTCTCTGCTGTTTCTCATCATGTCACCTTCATTTTTCCCTTTCACCATGGTCTTCTTCTAGCTGGCAAAAAGCATAGCCCACCACAGTTCCTGAGTTTTTCATTTTATAGTTTTTAGTTATTGATGAGCCTTTATCCTGACTTTCTCTTAGTCCCATATTCCAAAATCCTAAGTCCATTTACCATTGATGTGGTCAAGGGAGAGGGGTTAGGTGAGAAAATAGAAATGTTAGTGATACTTATGGATAAACTAAAGATAGGGGATGACCCAAGAAGGAAAGAGGAACTGTTCCAGAACAAGGGAGAGACAAAGAAATATGTGCCACCCACAGTAGCACTTAGGAGGTGCTTAATTGATGTATGTTGACTCAGTAAGTGAATAAAGAAGTTAACCTCTTTGAGTCTCTCCTTCTGTGAGATGAGAATACTGTCTACCTCACAGGTTTGTATTGACGATAAAGCACTAACTACAGGGCTTGGAAGGTAGTATATATTCAGTAAATGCCACCTAAATATCCTAGCAGTCATCTGGAATGGAATTGCAAAGGGAAATTAAGGGAGAATTTATTACAACAGTTTCTCTTTTAAAATTTGATCAGCAAGATTATCCAATTTTTTTTTTTTTAGATGGAGTCTTGCTCTGTCACCCAGGCTAGAGTGCAGTGGCACAATCTTGGCTCACTGCAACCTCTGCCTCCCGGGTTCAAGTGATTCTTCCGCCTCAGCCTCCCGAGTAGCTGGGATTACAGGTGGGCACCACCACAACCAGCTAATTTTTGTATTTTTAGTAGAGATGGGGTTTCATCATCTTGGCCAGGCTGGTCTCAAAGTCCTGACATCATGATCCACCCGCCTCAGCCTCCCAAAGTGCTAGGATTACAAGCATGAGCCACCATGCCCAGCCCCAATAAATTTTAATCAAACTATATGTCCCATCTTATCTTCTAATCATACTTAAGTCAACATAAATATTAGCCCAGGACTCTCGTTTGGCTCAGTCTGAGTTGGCACATTCCTTAAGGGAAACTGTAGTGTAACAGAACAAAGCCCTGATTTGCACCTATAAGAGACTATATTGATTTGTTCAGAGGATGAACAGAAACTGGAGGTTAAGAAACCCTGGCCTACTGATCAATATCTACTGATCAATATCTACTGCTTCATGAATTAAACTCCAGCTTCCCTCTTAACCAAACTAGCTCACACAACGTATACCCACATGAACTATTAATTCGTGCATTTTCTTGGATGTTCCTCCTTTCTTTGGACACTCTTGCTCTTTGTCTCATATTAAAATGCCTTCCTCTGCCCTGTTACCTTCACCTACATGACTCCTCAACCTTCAGTGTCTACTCTGACTCTGTAACTTTACTGACCCATCCCCATCAGCTCTGAGGAATCATGATTCAAGTTTTTCCAAGACCTCATACAAAACACTTTGGCACAAGCCAGGTACTTGGGTTCTTCTACCCTAATACTCTAACCAAACTGTTTCTTCTAAATGCATGCTGAGAAATGCTAAAGAGTTCCAATAAAATTTGTCTTCATGGCTCAGCAGTTTGTAGAAACCATTTATAGTTTACAAAGTTGTCTGTAACTCTCTGATGTTAGTGTTATTAAGGACATCCCACTCCTGATCAGAATTTCTAATTGATCAATACTTTGGAGAGATGAAACTTAACTTTTCCTGAGAATAATATCCTAAACTTTTCTGTTAGGGAGGGTTTTCTCAATGGTATGTCTTAGTGTTAGAAGAAACTTTAAAGGCTACTCATTACGTTGGTCCTGAAAAGCATCTGAATCTTTTCTATGTGGCCCTCAGAGGGAGTGTAATTTGTACTGAAATTTATGGCTTATTGACTTCCAGAGGAATACCTATTTCTTCACCCTGCCGTATTAGACGTCTCCCACCATTAGTTCTTTTTCATGCGTTTCATAGTTCATTTTGGCCCCCCTGCTAACTCACCACAGTAAGCCTCTCTGATACCAGCCTCAGCCTCTCTCTTAGAGACAGTCTAAGTTCCTCTTCGACTTATGACAGTTTGAGTACGTATGTGGTAGGTATGTGGGGTCAAGATAACATCTCCCTTATTTCCCCTTTTCTATCCCCAACAACCTTAGGAACTTCAACTGCTGGTTTGGGGTCTTTGTTTTTCCTTAGGATATATTCTGATCTACCAGTTTACTTTTTCTAATTCTTAATTTTAGCAAGCTGATTTCTCTTTGAAGCCTACAGAATAGAGGTTGTCAAAAGTGTCCTTCTGACACAATAATTACTAGGTATATAGGAATTAGAAGCTGACTTTGGATATGGAGACTTTCTAAATTGGAAACATTTTTGGAGATAGGAAATTCAGCCTAAGTAAAAACTAGTGTGTCCACTGGGGCATGTTGGGGTTGGGAAGGGAAAGTATCAGGAAAAGTAGCTAATGTATGCTGGGCTTAATACCTAGGTGATGGGTTGACAGAGGCAGCAAACCACCATGGCACACGTTTACCTGTGTAACACACCTGCACATCCTGCACATGTACCTGGGAACTGAAAATCAACAAAAAAAGAAAGAACCGAAAAAGAGATTATGCAATAAGAAAACAAAACAAAACAAAACAAAAAACTAGTGTGTCAATATTCACGATTGTTTTGGTCTATTCTCAAAGGCAGTATGAGATCATCATGATGACCATATGAACAAAAAACAGCAACAGCCGCCCTGGGCTTCTACTACCTTGAGGATGTCAAATGCGTTCAGTTCAAGGCCTTTGACTGTGCTTTCCCCTTTTCCCCATCCTAGGAATATTGCCTGCAACCCCATCCCTCCAAATTTTGCTCTGCCAACTTTTCATGCTTCAAATCTCTGAAAATCTTTTTAAAAAGTTTTCTGGCTGCCCCCGACCCCAGTCCTAATCTAAATTGGATCACCCATTATAATTTTGTGACACGCCTTTAAATTTTTCTCACATCAAGTATAAAAATTTTAATGGTGTATTTAGTGATACGATTATTTAGTGCCTGTCTTTTCCATCACGCTATAAATTTTGGGAAGCAATTCTGTCTGCTTTGTTTACTGTGGAATCCCCAGTGCTTGGCAGAGAACCTGGATTGTGTTGGTTGTTCACATAATATTTCCTGGATGATTGGCTGAATGAATAAATGACTATTACATTTGGAATAAATGTAATAAATGATTATCACATACTGTTTTTCTTCTTCTTTGCTTACATTTGTATATGACCTTGTGTTTTTCAAAGAATTTTCATGTTCCTGTAATTTTAGGTAGATAAGACTAATTACTATTGTCCCAATTTCCATCTGATGAACCTATGGCCCAGAGAAATGAAAAAACGAGCACAAACTCACATACTGGACGATGTGTGATGCCGCAGTTGGAGCTGAGACTACATGTTTACTCTTAGACTAGTGCTCTTTCTGTTAGTAATTTAATAAACAAAATTAGAGTCTCTTAAAAGATAGTTTAAGTGCACGTAATGTGATTTTTTTTTAATCTTGGAAGAAATAGTATTTGTTCTTTTGGAAGGTTCTAGTTAAAATAGAGTACCCTGACCTTTTAAACAGAATTTTACTTTTTAGAGCAGTTTTAGGTTCACAACAAAATTGAGCTGAAGGTAGAGAGATTTCCCATTTACCTCCTGCAATCTCCTGACTGTAATGGCTTGTTTTCCTTAGGTGACCTATTATGTAGGGGAATGTGAAGAGGGGATCTCATTTAATCCCATTTTTGGGGTGCCTTCGGGACCTCAGACAGCCTACATGTAATATATCTTGCTTAAAGGCAGAAAATATTTTTGCATCTGAACACATTTATATATTTTCTTGTGACAGAAATTAGTAGAAATTAAAATACTAGTTTTTGTCAAAAGAGTGGCTCAAAAAAGTCAAAATTCTTTCAAAAATACGTTTGGCTTCATACATGTCTAACACAAATTGTCTTTTTTCCTATTGATTTACCTCATTGTACTAGTTGTTGCCTTTACAGTAACATATGGAAAAAAGGCAATACAGCATCATTCCCTCACAGAAATTTCACCCCTTAGCCTTTTCGTTTTCATATTGAATCATATCAATTTTTTATGTTATTTCAAATTGGTAGGATCTGTAGTTCGTTCACCTGCATCCAGAAAATCATAAGATCCTATTACAGTTACAGTAGCACAAACCTGCTTTAAATGAAAAAAATGTGTGTTATCACTAAGTTTTTTACTAAATTGACATATAATTTTAAAAGCATTATTTACATTGTACCCTATCTCTCTGATTTATCTCTCAGGGTATAGAGTTCTTAAATATGGTATCATTTATTTCTATCTCTCTATGGAATCATCCAGGCTTTGACTCATTATAGAAGAGAAATTTCTTATAATGAAGTATTTTTTCTCACTTCCTTGAAAATAAAAATTTCATAGAATTATAAGGTCATATGGTAACAAGAGATTTTATGGGCCATTTAAACCAACTCTCTTTGAATCCCCTGTGGATACACCACCCAAAGTCATATCTTTGCTACTTGGATACTTTGTAAAATGGGGAGGTCACCACTTCACTTTAACTGTATGCCCACAGGGATAAACCAGGTTGGCTGCCTATCCAAATAGGTATGGTTCCTTTAACCCCCCAGTAAATATGGGACTTTATTTATATCTGAACAGTATGCCCAAGCTTCCTTGAATCCTGGACATCTGGAGAATGTGCTCTGCAATTGGAGCCAATCTGCGATTGTTTAGACTGTCTGGAAGAAAGGCAGGCTGACTTCATTTGGAGCTGGAAGCAGAGGCAAGCTGACAGCAACTTATAGAACATGGAGATTCCTGGCTAGCTGCTTGCTAGAAAGAAAATGTTTTAAGTGAACTTAGGTTTCCAGATGTCCCTCTAAAAAGTACGTAATTGTCATGACAGAAGATGAAAAAAGGAGAATGTGTAGTATGTGAATTAATTACTCTTTTTCCCTGATTAATTTTTACTTAACATTTGGCAGCACCATTTCCATAAATTTTATTTTTTAGAATCTGTGTGTTTTTTTTTTTTTTTTGCATCAGAACAACTGTACCGAATGCTGATAGACCTACAGCTTTTCTTAGTAAGATTTTCATGCGCATTTTTTCACTTAGTTCACACATTATTCCATACACTAAAAATTCTTTCTGTTTCTGCTTTCTGAATAAAAGCATAATTTTATAACATAATTTCAACAATATCAAATCAATAACCAACATTTATGTACCTTATGAAACAGGATAGTTCACTCAAGTATTTCAATCTTCCCGTAAAAGAGAGTGCAATGAAGGTAGCGCCTTTAAATTTTTTTTAATCAGGTGAGGTGGAACTGCATTTTAAGACACCAGTCTGTTTTTCCTACCAGTGTTTCCATCTTGCTTTGCTCTCCCTGCACTCCTGTAGTTAACTCTGTGCTTGATTGCCTCAGGGGAGGCAGGAAAAGGGCTGAACTCAGAAATAGCCTGCTTGTCTTTCTGACATTTGTCATGAAGAAACCTAAGCCCTTAGGGGAACTTAGAGCGTTTTTTGGAGAAGGTAAAAGTTGGCATTTAAGGGTAAAGACAAAGTATTTTGGTCAGAAACAAGCGGAGGAGAGAGCAGAGTTTTCGTTTGGGCTGTGTGGGAGACAGAGCAGAGAGAGGGAAGGAAAAGAAGAGGAAGGGATGAATGAAATGGATGAATGAAAGACCTCTGTGGTCCAGAGGAAGAAGGATTCTGCCTCTGCTTTACAGCAGCGTGATGGAACATCAGCAAGATCCTAAAGAAGAAATGACTGTCTAGTGTATGTAGTGCAATGACAAAATTGATACACAGTAGCCTTGAAAGAGTGACATGGGAACAATGGGAATTACCTGCAGTTACCAGATATAAGGAGTCATATGTCCTGGGACAATAGATGCAGCAACATGTGTGAACCTATGGCTATTGATCCCTTGCAACCTGTGCTCCCACCATCCTACTTCATAGTTAATGGCATAAATTTTGGAGACCCAGGGATAAAAGATAATTCTCAGGAAGAATTGAAGATAAGTTTGTCCGCCAATCCAACAGAATAGAAACTCAGGAAAAAATATTACAATGAATTATAGAAAATGAACGTGTATAATACATCTAAGTGTGTTTACTGAAAGGCACACTTGCTTACAATCAAGAACTATTTTTCTTCCCCCCACCCCACTTGAATTCAGGTAAAATATACATACATTCCAATTTAGTACATAATTCTATGGGTTTTTGCAAACACCCGGTCTTGTAACAACCACCATAATCAACATGTAAAACATTTCTCTCACTCCTCCAGATTCTCCAGTGTTCCTTTGTAGTTAATCACCCTCTCCTGGCAACCATTGATCTGTCTTTGCCCCTTTTGCGAAAATGTCAGAAATTGAATCTGATACAGTATTAAGCCTTTTATGTCCTAGCCTTCTCTGAATAATGCATTTGTAATTCATTTACGTTGCATGTATCCGCAGTTTGCTCCTTTTTATTCCTGAGTAGTATTTGATTGTATGCATGTACCACAGCTGTTTCCAGTTTTTGGTGGTTGCAAATAAAGCTGCTATGAACATTTGCATACAGGATTTTGTGTGAATATAGGTTTTCATTTCACTTGGGTAGAAACCTACAAGTGGGATTGCTGCATTGTGTAGTATATGTTTAACTTAAAAGGTACTGCCAAATCAATTTCCATGGAGGCTGTAACAGTTTACATTCTCATCACCAATGAATGAGGAGTTCTAGTTGCTCCACTTTGTAGTGCCAGTTTAAATAAATGTGTTATGCTAAGCGTGTGACAGTATCTCATCATGGCTTTAATTTTCATGGCTGATTTACCATTTTTATATTTTCTGTTTAAGTGCTTGTCCACTTTTAAATTCGTTTTTAATTGTTGAATTTTTAGACTTCCTTTTCTATTCTGGTTACAAGTCCATGTTAGACACATCATTTGGAAATGCTTTCTCCCAGTCTGTGCTTTGTATTATCTTCCTATCTGTATCATTTCAAGAGCAAAAGCTTTTATGTTTGATTAGGTAAAATATGTAAAAAAAATTTTTTGGCTTAGACTTTTGATGTCCTATCTAAGAACTCTTTGCTTATTTCACTGTTACAAAAATTTTTGGTATTTTTTTAAATTCTGCTTTTTCTTCTGGAAGTTTTCTAATTTTTACACAGAAGTTTTATAATTCTAGGTTTGTGATCCAATTTCAGTTAAGTTTTTATAAGGCAGAAAGTCTGTATCTAGGTGTTTTGTTTTGCTTTGTGTAAATGGGCTTTCATTGTTCCAGAAACATTTATTGTAAAGGCCACCTTTTCTTTATTGAATTTCCTTTGCATCTTTATTGAAACTCGGTTTTCCACGTGTAGATCTGCTTTTGGAGTTTTCATTGTGTTCTTCTATATTGTGTTCTAATATATATACATATATATATATGTATATATACACACATATTAGATATATAAAATAATAGATATAATAATTATATAATAGATATATAAAACCTTTCTCTAATGTCAACTCATTTGACTATTATAGCTTCTAAGTAAGCCTGGAAGTTAAGCAGTGTTAGTCTTCCTACTTTGGTTTTGCTTTTGAAAATGTTTCAGCTATTCTTTTTTCTTTGCCTTTCTTTGCAAATTTTAGTATCAGCCTGTCAATTTCTAAGAAAAAAATCCTACTGGAATTGCATTGCATCTGTAGGTTAATTTAGGGGAAATTAACAAATTAATGATGTTGAGTCATCTGATCCATGAACACAGTATATATATTCTTTTATTTAGGTCTTCTTTGATTTCTTTTATCAGTATTTTGTAGTTCTCAGTATAAAGGTCTTAGAGATATTTTGTAAGATTTGCACATAAATACTTCAGGCTTTTTGTTGCTATTGTAAATAATGCTTTCAAATTTTAATTTTCAAGTGTTCATTCCTACTTATAATGGTCCAACTTACAATTTTTCAACTTTATGATGAGTTTATCAAGATTTAGCTTCATCATAAGTTGGGAAGCTTCTTATTCATGATAGGGTTATAATTTCTACTGAATGTGTATTGCTTTCACACCATCATAATATAAAAAAATCTTGTCTAATCATTGTTAGTCAGGGACCATCTGCTGTGTTGCCAGCATTAAATGAATTTTCAACTTATGATGCTTTTTAAAAAAATTATAATAGATATTTCAGGATGTAACTTCACCGTAAGTTGAGAAGCATTTGTATACAGAAATATGATTGCCCATGTATCCTTCACCTTTGCTAAATATACTTATCAGTCCCAGTAGCTTCCTAAAGTATGTTTTTGAGATTTTCTCTTTGGCAATCATGTTACCTGTGAATCAAGACTATTTTATTTCTCATTTTCCTACTTGTATTCTTTTCTTTTTCTTGCCTTTTTGCACTGGCTTGGACTTTCAGTACATTGTTGAATAGCAATAGTGTGGACATCTTTGCCTTGATTCTGGTCTTGGGGGAAAGCACTCAGTCTTTCATCATTTAATATTATCTTAACTCTTTTGATGGTGCCCTTCATATGGCTGTGGAAATTCCCTTTTATTCCTAGTTTTCTGGGAGTTTTTAATCATAAATGAATGTCAGATTATGTCAAAGGGGTTCTCTGCATCTATGGCGATGATCATTTGGTTTTTTCTTTTGTATTCTGTTGATATGAATTACACTAAGTGATATTTGAATATTGAACTGGCTTTGCACTTTTGGGACCAAATCTACCTAGTCATGATGTGCTATGCTTTTTATGCGCTATTGGATTTTATTTGCTAGTACTTTTTAAAAATTTTTGCATCTATGTTTGTGAGATACATTGGTCTATAATTTTATCTCTTGGTATGGTTTTGGCATCCAGGTAATGCTAGCCTTGTAAAATTCATTGAAAAGTGTTCCCTTCTATATTATTGGAGAATTTGTATAGAATTGGTATTGTTTCTTAGTCAATAATTTTTTTATGATAAAAAGGAAAGCCAGATATTTAATCATATTAAAATTTTTACTTTGCTATTCAGGCAGCTGAAGTGCCAGAACCCCTTATTACATGAGGAAACTTCTATGAAGATAATTTTACTGTGGGGTGTTTTGAGGGTAACTAGTGAATGCAGCTTCATGTCACCAGCTCTAGAGCAATCTCCGTTGATGTTAGATGGAAGGAAACCAACATGTTGGGCATAGATGTTGAGCCAGGCACCTAGATGCTGTGTGTTTAGGGTACTTTTTATGCTTAAAATCTTCAAAATAATTTGTTAATATTATAACAATTTCATAGGTGAGAAAATAATGCTTTATAAAAATTTAGGTAATTTTCCTCTTACACGAACTGGCCAAGTGATAGCACTATACTTTAACAAACACCTGAGTATTATTTTCTGATTTTAAAAATAATGTAGAATGGTTATAAAAGTTTAAATAAAAAATAAAATATATAATTTTACCATCTAGAGGCTTCTGGTCTTACTTCCACATGCAACAACATAGTTTTCAGAGGTATTAAATTGGAAGATTTAAAAATAATTTTTATTATGCTTTTCATCACCCTTTCCCAATCATTCAGGCACTAGAGATAACTTTTTCTTTTCTTTTTTTTATTTTTAGAGACCCAGACTTTTAAAATTTTATTTTATTGTTTGTTACCCAGACTGGAGTGAAGTGGCACTATCTTGGCTCACTGTAGCTTTGAACTCCTGGACTTGAGATCCTCCCACCTAGGTCTTACAAGTAGCTAGGACCATAGGCATGTGCTACCACACTCACTTAGTTTATTTTTACTTTTTGTGGAGAGTGGCTTTCACTTTGTTGCCCTGGCTGGTCTTGAACTCCTGGCCTCAAGCAATCCTCTTTTCTCAGCTCCCAAAGTGTTAGGATTACAGACATGGGCCACTGTGCCCAGCTAAAGAAAAAAGTTTTCATAATTGTTGCCATTGGTTAAGAATGATACAGAGGGAAAAAAAAATAGTGCTATTTCCAAATGTTAAGTTCCAAATAAGTTCTAGCTCTTGAAAGCCAAAGGCAAGGACAATAGTTAGAAAAAGTATAGTGCATGTGTGTTTTAATTTCAACTCTCTTCTTTAAATAACCATAGCCAAAGTCTAGATCATTCAGGTCATTGGTTTGTTTTGTTGTTGTTGCTTTTTTTGTTTTTGAGATGGAGTCTCTCTCTTGTCACCCAGGCTGGCGTGCAGTGATATGATCTTGTCTCACTGCAAACTTCGCCTCCTCGATTGAAGCAATTCTCCTGCCTCAATTTCCCAAGTGGCTGGATTACAGGCATGTACCACCATGCCTGGCTAATTTTTGTATGTTTAGTAGAGAGAGGGTTTCACCATGTTGGCCAGGCTGGTCTCAAACTCCTGACCTCAGGTGATCTGCCCTCCTTGGCCTCTCAAAGTGCTGGAATTAAAGGAGATCATTGGTTTTATTTCACAAATGACATATAGGGTAAGAGTTCACCCATACACACCCCCAAATTCCTTCCAAATAATAATTTTCCCAGCCACAGGGATGATGAGGACTAGCAATGCTAATACTAGATGCAGGCTTGGCCTATGTCTTTGAGATGGAGCCCAGTATCCCATTTCTACATTGTCTAATATTTTAATCCTGTCACTTGGTCCAGAAAGGTGGGTAATAGAAATGCTATATACATGAGTAGTATTTAAAGGTTAAATAGTTTGTTAACTGGCTTAGTCAGTTACAGCCCTGAGGGATGGCAAGACTCATAGAGAATCTCAACTACAACAGGACTGTGAACTACAGCTGTGTCTGTAAGAAGACAGAAAGAGAGCTCTACTCCTACTGTATCTCTTTTAGAATATAAAGTAGGATTTTCTGTTTTTACAGAAGTAAAGGGAAGAGGGCAGTTACCCTTGTTTTATTTCACCCCCTATTGAAGAGACTTGATCCCAGGACACACAAGTGCTCTGCCAGGTAGCAGCTTGTGGTTGTATTGTTCAGCTTTGCTTAAGGCAGAGTCAATGTGTTCAATTCAGGGAGTGGAGCACAAAACCTGAGAAGGAAGAAGAAGCCATTTTCTATGTAGTAAAACAGTTTTTAAAATTTTTGTCAATTCTGGAATTATTTCTCAAATGGATCCGAATTTGAGAGAAGAGAGGAGTGTTATTTATTGCCTCCCACCGTAAACTTCAACATATTGGTGCATGGACTGAAAACCTTAAGAAATAGTCCCAAGTGCTGATGTTTGCAGGCTGAAATCTAGGAGAAGTTGAGCCTCCCACAGTAACTAGGGCAGTAGGTATAGGCTTTGATAATTTTATAGGCCAAACTCTTTTGGGTATTTGACCTTACTGATTGGCAAGGTTTTGCTTTTGTAGCTGGATTTTCACTGGTCCAAAAAAGGTACAGATTTGTCTTGTAGAGCTGTGTTTTATTATGCAGACCTTTAAAAATTAGTGGTTGTCTAATGGCCCTTACACAATGTCTTCTGCCAGGATTGTAGACCTGGGCTTTAAACTACAAAAAAACAAGACTGTGTTCCACAGTGTTACAGGGAATGAGACATGGTCTCTAAATTGTATTAGGTATTATTAACAGTTAGCATAAGGTCCACCTGCCAAAATTCTGTTACTCTTTGTCTTCTTTGGAATTGCATTCAGTATGGAGGCCAAGGAGAGAAATAAGAAGGTCTAAATATTATTATCTCTCTTTTTCTCTGTGAGACTTCTTGGGCAGGTTCCTTCTTTTAATCTACGAATAATTTTTTAAAAATCCCTTTTACAAATGTTTGTCAGGGAAATGTAAATTGAAACCATGATGAGATACCAACCATACCCAATAGAATGGCTCGTATATAAAAAAAAAAAAAGCACAAAAAACAAAAAAACAGAACATAACCACTGTTGGCAAGGATGTGGATAAGTTGAAACCCTTGCATGCTGTTGGTGGAAATGTAAAATGGTATAGCCAATATGGACAACAGTACGGTGGTTTCTCAAAAAATTCCAAATAGTATTACCATATGAGCCAGCAATTCTACTTCTGGACATATGCTCCAAAGAATTGAAAGCAGGGTCTCAAAGAGATATTTTTACACCCATGTTCATAGCAGCATTATTCACAATAGCCAAAAGGTAGAAGCAACTCAGTGTTCACTGACACATCAACAATTTGTAACATACATGTACAACAGAATAGTATTCAGCCTTAAAAAGGAAAGGAATTCTGACATTTGCTATGACATGCATGAACGTTAGTGACATTCGAAGTGAAATAAACCAGTCACAAAAAGACAAATACTGTATGATTCTACTTATATGAGGTACCTGAAGTAGACATATTCATAGAGATAGAAAGGGGAATGGTGATGGACAGTGCCCTAGAAAAGGGATGAATGAGGAGTTGTTTAATGGGTGTAGAGTTTTAGTTTTCAAGATAAAAAGAGTTTTGGAGATTGGTTGTAGAACAATGTGAATGTACTTAATTAAAAGTGATAAAGATGGTACATTTTATGTTACATGTATTTTGCCCCAATTAAAAATACAAGTAATGAAAAGTACTAAAACAATCTTTCTCAAAGAGAAGTTAAACTTGGCTGTATCCCCTTTACTTTTCATACCAGCTTGCCTGTCCTCCAAGATCTTTGCTTTAAGAAAGTCTCTTTCTCCAGTTTAAATGATCTCACTTCCTCTACCTGAGGCAAAGTATCTTGCAAATACTTTATTGGGAGGTAATCTCAGGGAAGGGAGAGTGATGAAAAAGAGGGTAAAGAGGAAAAAAAGGTAAGCATATGTAAGGTGGCACATTACTGAATTGGCCAAGTGTTCATAACAAATCGTGAGTGGTTGCTCAATTATGTGATACATAACTGGAAGGATGTGGGAAGACAGATCTCTTTGCCAGTGCCTTTCCACCACCTGTTGCTCAGTAGTTAAAATTCTCATTATAGGGAGTTTATTCTCTCACACTTCCAGTTATATCACCTGGCCCCTCAAAAGGGACAGTCCCTGGGGAAGCAGGGTTTCATGCCCTGTGGTTTAGGACTTCAACCAAATATAAAAGTGATAGAAGAAACCACCACTTTTGTGGGTTCAAGCAGTGATATGGTTTGGCTGTATCCTCACCGAAATCTCATCTTGAATTATAATCTTCATAATCCCGTGTCATGGGAGGGACCCAGTGGGAGGTAATTAGATCATGGGAGCAGTTTCCCACATGCTGTTCTTGTAATAATGATAGAGTCTTATGAGATCTGTGGTTTTTTAAGCATCTGGTATTTCCCCTGCTTGTACTAACTCCATCCTGCCACCATGTGAAGAAGGTGCTTGCTTCTGCCTTCTGCCATGTTTCTAAGTTTCCTGAGGCCTCCCAGCCACGCGAACTGTGAGTCAATTAAACCTCTTTCCTTTATAAATTACTCAGTCTCAGGTATGTCTTCATAGCAGTGTGAGAATAGACTATACAGTCTGTTCTGGCTAGTGGGGTGCTGCTTTAAATATACCCAACAATGTGGAAGTGATTTTGGAACTGGCTAACAGGCAGAGATTAGAACAGTTTGGAGGGCTGAGAAGAAGACAGGAAGATATGCAAGGTTTGTAACTTCCTAGAGACTTGGAGAGCTCAGAAGACAGGGAGGTGTGGTTTGGAACTTTCTAGAGACTTGTTGATTGGCATTGACCAACATGCTGATAATGATATGAAGTTTAAGCTGAGATGGTCTCAGATGGAGATGAGGAACTTGTTGGGAGCTGAAGCACAGGTCACTTTTGCTATGCAAAGAGAGTGGCTGCATTCTGCCCCTGCCCTAGAGATCTGTGGAACTTTGAACTTGAGAGAGATGATTTAGGGCATCTGGCAGAAGAAATTTCTAAGTGGCAGACCATTCAAGAGGAAGCCCAGAGCATAAAAGTTTGGAAAACTTGCAGTCTGACAATGTGATAGAAAAGAAAACCCCATTTTCTGGGGAGAATTTCAAGTTGGCTGCCGAGAGTTACATAGGTATCAAGGAGTCAAATGTTAATCACCAAGACAATGAAGAAAATGCAGGGCTTGTCAGAGACCTTCACAGCAGCCCCAGGCATCACAGGCCTGGAGGCCTAAGAAGGAAAAATGATTGTATTAGGCTGGGCCTAGGGTCCCCCTGCAGCCTTGAAACTTGGTGCCTGTATCCCAGCTGCTTCAGCCCCAGCTGTGGCTAAAAGGGGCCAATGTACAGCTCAGGCCATTGCTTCAGAGAGTGCAAGTCCCAAGTCCCAAGCCTTGGCAGCTTCCATGTGGTGTTGGTCCTGTGGGTATACAGAAGTCAAGAAGTGAGATTTGGAAATCTCTGTCTAGATTTCAAAGGATGTATGGAAATGCCTGGATGTGCAGAAGCAGAATCCTCATGGAGAATCTCTGATACAGCAATGTGGAAGGAAAATGTGGGATCAGAGCCCCCATGCAGAGTCCTCACTGGGGTACTGCCTAGTGGAGCTTTGAGAAGAGGGACACCATCCTGCAGACCCGAGAATAGGAGATCCATATACAGCTTTCACTGTGTGCCTGGAAAAGCCATCAATACTCAATGCCAGCCCATGAAAGCAGCTGGTAGAGGGGACTGTACTTCACAAAGCCACAGGGGCAGAGTTGCCCAAGGCCACATTGTGGGAGACCACCTCTTGCATTACCATGACCTGGATACAAGACCTGGATTAAAAGATAACTTTGAAGTTTAATGACTGCCTTACAGGATTTTAGACTTGCATAGGGCCTCTAGCCCCGTTGTTTTGGCCAATTTTTCCCATGTAGAATGGGTGTATTTTCCCAATGCCTATACCCTCATTTGTCTAGGAAGTAACTAACTTGCTTTTGATTTTACAGGCTCATAGGTGGAAGGGACTTACCTTGTCTCAGAAGAGACTTTGGACTTGAACTTTTGGATTAATGCTGGAATGAGCTAAGACTTTGGATGACTGTTGGAAGGGCATGATTGTATTTTGAAATGTGAGGACATGAGATTTGGGAGGGCTGGGGCAGATTGATATTGTTTGGCCCTGTGTCACCACCCAAATCTCACCTTGAATTGTAATAATCTCGACATGTTATGGGAGGAACTCAGTGGGAGGTAATTAAATCATGAGGGCAGCTACCCCTATGCTGTTGTTGTGACAGTAAATGAGTTCTCATGAGATCCGATGGTTTTATAAGGAGCTTTTCCCCCTTTGCTCAGCACTTCTCTCTCCTGCTGCCACGTGCAGAAGGACATGTTTGCTTCCCCTTCTGCCATGATTGTATGTTCCCCGAGGCCTCCATAGCCATGCTGAACTGTGAGCCAATTAAACCTCTTTCCTTTACAAATTATCCAGTCTTGGGTATATCTTTATTAGTGGTGTGAGAATGGACTAATACAAGTAGTTTCCAGTAATGGAGTCTGTCCACTGGAGCTGCTCTGGCTCCAGCCATGGCAGACACAATGGAGGCCATGTTAGCAGAAAAGGAGGTTCTGGGGATGGCAGTGGCATCTAGAGCACTCCATGAGCAAGTTGACAAGTGTCTGGAAGACGAGTGGTAACCTGTCATACCTGAGAGGGTATTATTAACTGTGTTCTAAAACACACACACACACACACACACACACACACACACACACACACACAGAGTCATGGCTCGATGAAAATATTGATCTAATATAACAGTGTGTTCAAAATGTGAAAATCCAGTGCTGAGATATGTGGACAAACCAGATTTGACTGAAAACAAATACAGTTGTAAAACACAGAATTCATGACTTTATAAGATTCACTTTGAGAAAATTTCTATATTAGCAAGAATAAGTAATTCTGTTATAACAAACAAACCCCAAATATCAGTATCTGTCAGGGGCAGTGACAATGACCACTATGTTAAGAATTCATTTTAAAATTAGTGTGGGGAGGCTGTGTTGTTTGCAATCCAGTGCTCAACTGTCTCAAAATGGGGTTGGGAGTTTTTAGAGCTTTACTATGCTGGTTGAAAGAAAACAGTTACATGATGTCTGGGGTTGCCACCACAGAAATTTCTAGATGTTAAAAAAAGGCAAGAAAATTGCTCTTTGAAGAATAGTAATTGAGAATATGCCCAAGTCAATCACCCCCACCTGCATTTATGGTAAATATCTTTGTTTCAATTAATCTAATGATAATATATTCTCACCAAGTTCTAAGATGTATAATCTGGACAAAGAGGCTCTCATACTAGAAAGGCCAAAAGATGTGAATCTTTGGGTCAGTGGTTCATTGAAGAATACTGACAAAAAAAAATGCTTATAATACTGTGTGGTGAGTGCTATGAGAAAGTCATGTGATATAGTGTACTTTGAATTCACATAAAAGGAACATCCAACCAGACTTTGAAGGCCTGGAAGGTTGTCCAGAGAAAAGTAATAACTAGGATTAATCCTAAAAGATGAGTGAGGGTTGATTGGCTAAATAAGGCTGAAGAGTCAAACTATTAAGAGGGCTCAGGAAATTTTGTCTAAATTATAGCTGAAAGGTAAACCTGGTAAACCTCGATCTGGGTCAAGAAATTTTGGTTTTGAAAATTTTCTAAGTTCTCCTCATGGTCACATACCCCATCTGAGCCCAGGTCTTGTTAGTTTCTCTGCAGTTTCAGAGGAATGTGCAGGAAACGGGAAAACTTAGATAAATAACAAAGCGTTTTATTCAATTAAAATTAAAGACATGTGTGGGAAAGCTAAAGGTAAATTATTAGATTGCATAGTACTACATTGAGCAAACATCTTTTGTCCCAGAATGTGGTAGGCAACATAAAGATACAGATCTATAATTTTTTATTTGCTTGGAGAATAAAACCAAAACAATTATAGAAAGAATTTAATTATGAAAGGCTTTTGTCAGTTAGGTAGATAAACCTGACAGTTTTTAGATTTGAGTGCCTGAAAAATCTCTGTAATAGGGCAAAAAATCTAATTTAGGTAACAGCTCTTGTGGCAGAGACAATGCCCTCTTTCACCACATCATTTCTTCTTCCTGGATACTCCAGAAGACAATTTTTCTCAGCCTCGTCGGGGTTAGGTTAAGACTGAGTTTTATGTGACTGAATTTTGGCCAATGGAATGTGAGCAAAAAGATGTATAAACTACTTCTAAGCTTGGGCTCTTAAAAATATCTCACATATTCTGTACCCCTCCTCTTTTTATGATGAATTGGGAAGACAAGATTGTCTATTTTGTAGCTAAAAAGCAGAAGCAACCTGAATCCTTGACTCATAGCTTAGAAGAACCACTGAGTAGAATCCATCTATATCAGACTATAATTGAACAGGAAGTAAATGCTTGTTGTGCTCAGCCGCTGGTATTTTTGGAATTATTTGTTCTTGAAGCAGAGCTTGATCTGTCCTGACAAATGCACTCTTCCTTCTGCAGGTTTCCCATGCTCTCTTTTGGACCTGAAGGGGGTCATTCGGACAATAAGGCTTGATAACTCCCTGGACTTAGGAAGCAAGAGAGCAGGAGTCAAGAAAAACTTTTGTGCTTTTTGGTTTCTGTAGAAAATATGATGGATTGAGATGAAAATTTTTAAAATAGACCTAATGAAGAAGAGCAGATTTGAGGAGTGAAGGTATGATTTTAAATTGGACATGTTATATTGAAAAGATATTTAGCCTTATATCATGCAGGAGGATTTTATAAATGCCTTTGAGGGAAAGCAGTGTTTTTATATGTTTAATTTTCTTTATTATCTAGTATTTATATACCATTTATATTTCTTAATGGGTTGGTTCCCTTAGCTGTCTGTGTGTTTGCATGTGTATATATTGTACACATGCTGCCTAGAATTGCTTTGAGTTGTCTGTATACTCACATGAAATATAAGTAGCTTGTTTAAATCACAATAGTATATTTATATTCCTTCTTTCCTTCACTTTCTCTCTGACATCTTTTCTGAATGTTTTTAGGCAGCATGTTCTTACTCTTTTTAAAGATATTTCTCATTAGGTAGATTGTAAAAGCCAACACCAAATGTTAAATCCAAGTTTGTTACACAAGCAGTTTGGAAGGTCAGAATGATCTCCACAAGATGCATACCAGAAGCTAACTCAATTTTTGATTTTCCCAAATGAGTTTTCTTGTGAAATCTGGTTTTCGCATCTCCCTAGGCTTTTCCCCAATGGCCTGCTTTTATATTTCAAAATATAACCGGGACAAAGTATTTTAGAAAAGTTATTGGTTTTAATTTATCTTTGAAATCTCGAATTTTTCCTGGGCATTTTTTCCTAGAAGAGTGTTTTGCATAGCATGGGTATTAAAGGAGTCTTTGTTGACTGGTTTAAAGATCTTAGTTAATTTGAGCTGGGAGAAAACGTAGAGATCATCTAGTCCAACCCTGTCCTTTTATTGTTGAGAAACAAAAGCCCAGAGAATTGAAAAGTCTTGGCCAATGTCACAAGGTTAGGCGTAGACCTGCTGCTACTACTAATGATGCTGCTCCTTTATTTATGTGCATACGTTGTCCGTTTCACAAAGCCATCATTTATGTCACTTGTTCCTACAATAGCTATGTGAGATAAGAAATGCAGAGATGATCAATCCTTTTGGTTTTTTAACCAACGAAAAAATTGAGGCCCAGAGGAACTAAGTCAAATAGTTAGATTATCTTACTCATTTATTACACACATATTGATTAAGCTCTTATTATGTGCCAGGCACTATTCTAGTTTTGTTCTAAAAACAGGCAAATGCGTGGTTCTCCTTGTATTAGGGAGAATGAGAGAGAAAACATTCTAATAAATAATAGCTGAAATGAGTGAGTTTGCTTTCTGACTTCAGTCCAGTGGTGTTTTTCTCTACATCTCTGCTGATTAATTAAAACAAATAACATATCTGGCGGATTGATTAATTCTTCTTTACTGAAGAGAAATAGCCCCTTTAAAGAATGTATTCTGTAAAGAATACAAAGCATTTTAGATGCAGCAATAAAAAGAGGGCTTTAGAGAGTTATATAATTTAATGTGCTCAAGAGAATATGGAGAAACATCAGTACATGTTCCCTTTCTCTCCAGCTTTGAGATTTATGACTGGTCTGTTACAATAATAATAACTGAATATTGGCGTAAGAAATATATTTGATTCAGTGGGTAACATTTGACAGCCTTAACTTGTGAAATGTAGAAAAGTTCTTGCAGGAAGCTCCGGCAGAATATGTAATATACAAGAAGGTATTCAGGGAACAGAAAAATGAAATCAAAGGAACCTGCTATCCAATCTGTTTCATTAAATATGAAAATTAAAATGCCTTAACAAAATGCTTTCTCTTCCTCTCTCCTCCCAACAAACAAAAGCTTTGGTAGGCAGCCTGAAATTGCTCATCAAGGAAAAAGACCAGACTTGGATTTTAAATGGCTCCTTCTGAATGAAGCAATTAATGCTAAAAGGAACATGTTGTCTCCTCAGCATTTAAAAGGTAAAACATTCATTGTACTTGCTGGCACTGTATCAAGTTTCTCCTTGGCCTAAGCAAGGAGAGAAATGCTTTGCTGCATGTGTTCTTGACCTCTGGTAATCAGGAGGATTTGGCTGATAAACTTGACAGGAGCAATTCTCCCTGGGACTGGAAATGTGCCCGGGAAGTGTGCTCTTGAGTTTCTTTTACTCAGACCCTGACCAGTCAGCTGTGGCAGGCCCATCAAGGCTGGCATCTGACCTATTTGCCAATGAGAGATGGTACTGCTCTATGATTGTTCAGGATTTGAAATGCACTAGAGTAATGCCACAGAGTATTGTCTTTACTTTGTTGCATTTGTTCCGATTATTCAGCTTTCTCAGGTAATATTTTAAGAATATTACCTTGTAAACTTACTTATTATTCATTTACTCACTAATGCATATGTTTATTCAGAGCACTTTAAT